AAACCAGAGATTTGGATGAATTGTGAGCAGATTATTTCCGGTTTAGGAAACTTTTTATACAATTCTCTGTCTGTATTATGGATTTTTAATCATTTTTAACAATCATACAGACTTAAAAAGCTTCTTTTATCACAAATTCAGTGTTTTCTTCTCCCTGACGGTTGTTTTATTAGACAATTTACTTTATATAATTCTTCACAGACTGTATATTTTTCTTTGTGTAAAACAATTTGTAGGAAGTTCTAGCAGATTATTTCCTGTAAATATGTTTGTTTCCTGATTTTTAGGGAACTTTTTATACAATTCTTCGTCTGTATTATGGATTTTCTTTATTTTTAACAATCACATACACTTCATAGGCTTCGCTTTCAACACATTCAGTGTTTTCTAACGCAGGATGAGGCTGTTGAGCAGAAACTGACGGCTCAGTGAATATCGTTTGTGTTCAGGTCTTTAAAGTTTAGATCTTAAAAAAAGTCTAAGAATAACAATTTTAATTCAGTTTTCTTCACAGAAATGAACCAAATGCTGAGACATAGACCTACTGTGTATATTTATTAAGTTTTCTTAGACCCCTTAAATCTCAAAAAGACCTCACGGCTCCCCTGTGAAGCTTTCCCGACCCCCAGGTAAAGACAGAATAAAATATAATAAAATAAAATATACTCTCTCTGGATGTGTAAAGTCTCTATAAGCTGGCTCTGGATTTGCTGAATATAGTACTACTTTATATATATAATACTTTATATTTTAGTCTGTATCTTTTCTGATTTTCAGTAACGTAAATGTTCTGCACTGGGATCCTCTTCCAGACCAGATCAGGTAATAAAGACGGTCCTATTCTGAGACCACGTTTAATCTGTCCTGGATCATATTTCGTGTCTCACTGTTGCGTTATTATGAATCCTCTTCTTGCCCTGACACACACACACACACACACACACACACACACACACACACACACCATTCAAGTCTTTGTGGAGGTTTTCTAACATCTGGTTGTTTATTTTAACACAAACTATGAGATTTTCCTGCTAATCAAGTAGTTCTGTTGCCTAAATTTAACCAAACTCTAAAAAGTGTCTTACAGGAGAATCAAACCCAGTAACCCAGATACAGATCGTTTACTTAACCCAACTACCTTCATGCTACACTTCGGTGCTATTTATCTCACATATAAAGCTGTTTTTATGATCTTTATGTACCTGATGAGCCTGGTTCTCAACCTTTTTTGTGACACATATATAAACTTATATATAAATTTATATATAAACTTATATAAGGGTATTATTACACCCTTATTTTTATTTAATAAAATGTATTTATGTTATTTTTTTTAACTTAATTTCAACACTTTTTTCAATGATTATGGATTTATTGACTCATATAACCTTTCAGCTTATAGGTGGTACAGATTTTTAGGGATATGAATCATTTCCAGATACATTTCTACCTGTAAAATAAAAACAATCAACAAAAAACACAAATTCAAACGTCTGATTCAACGTCTGCCGTTTACTTACAGGAGTCCTCAATCTTTATGAGGGGGTTCGTCAGGATGGGGGTGGCGGGTGCTGAAGGGACAGTCTGAGGTGACTGAGGGGGGGTGACAGCGGGGGAGGGGATGGAGGGACTGTCTGAGGTACTCCCCTCGCCTTCCTTCCCCTTCTCCCTCTATAGACGAGCCCCCAGCAAAAGGGAAATGACAAAGCATGCAACGAAAATACAACGTGGCGGCGTCAACAGAAAGCAAAAAATGCAACACAATATATGAAACAAACAAACAGAATGAAATAATAATCAATAAATAATGATGAATGTACACTGTAAAATAATGTCTGTAGATTTTACAGTCAAACGTATGACTGTAAATAGGTTAAATATAGTTTCTGTAACAGTAAAACACTGTTATAGCTTTATTTATATATTTTTAATATATTATTTATGTGGAATAAAGTCATTTTTCTTTATTTTAAAGACTGTACATTTCACAGAAAGCAACATTAATGTGTGGCAAAACTGTAAAATATGGAATAAAACACCAACTTTAACCACAAAATCAACAGTACTAATGTCCTTTTACCGTAATAACAGAAAATACCTACTGTATTTATCACGGTAAAGTTCTGGCAAACTAAAGCTGCCAGTTTTTTTACCATAAAGAATATACATATATTATTTTTACAGTGTAAAATCATCTGGATGGAGAAGATGAAAACTTGAACAAAAGAGGAAGAAATGTCAAACTGAAGGAGAAAAGGATGAGATGAATGACTTAGTGATGTGTTTCTGGCTCTTAAAGTGGCTCTTTGTGTTGCATTGTTGGAAAAGGAAAATTCACAATTTCCCAAAACTTGCTGCTATAGAAAAGTGCTGCATTATTACAGGTTATATATGAGATTATAAACATTAATATATCAGCTAACAGCTGTTCTCTGTGTAAAGATACAGAGTCACATGGTGTCTC